CACACACGCATCCGCAAGCATCCACACACACGCATCCGCAAGCATCCACACACACGCATCCGCAAGCATCCACACACACACGCATCTCCACACACACACACACACACACACACACACACACACACACACACACACACACACACACACACACACACACACACACACACACACACACACACACACACACACACACTTCAGAGCATTCATTTGTCATCGATCCTTCTCCATGACTTCATTTCCCTTTGTAGCTGCGCTGCTCCCATGTGCTTTTGGCAGTTGTACGGAGGCCTGGCAGGGCCACATAGTCTTTCTGGAAACGTGAATTAGGCGTTCTTTGTCTTTTCCTCTCCCCCTGCGTGGTGAAGAAGGCGTCCTGGAAACGCATGCTTGAGGCCGTGGACTGCAAAAATTTGACATGAGAAAACACCAAATGAGTAAGCAAGAAAGCCCTCCAGGTGGGAGATACATTCTAACCATGTCAAACGTGTGCTTTACAGTTTCTGCTGCCCAGTAAGTCTAATACTTACAAGTCTACGTTTCACCTTTTTAGGCAGGTCTTCGTTTAAGGTATAGACATCTTCTCTTTTTGCCAGCACCTGAGAACCGTCCTCAAATTCCACCTGAACATAAAGGGAAAAGATCACCAGCTCTTTACACATTAATATGATAGGAGCGCAACTATTTAGCGCAATTTTTGTTTTGCAATATATGTACACAGCATAAGGCTAGAAAATCATTTTCAAAATGTAATATTTGTATTTATTTAATTTATCTCTGAAAAGGATGTTGGAATTAAACATCAATCAACCATAGTGCAAACTCAACACTGTCTATTAAAGTGTGTATCAGGTCTCAAGGAAGTAAACATAATACAATATCAGAAACTGAAAGTCATTCAAACCAATATTAAAACTTTTAATGGATCAGAATTTTTTTATTCTCAATGATGAAACAAATACTTTTACTAGATTTTGAATAGAAGCCTCCACTCTCAAAACAAATATTTTTGATTTTTCATCGCTGTGTGCCTTGAAGTAAAACTATATCCTACCTAGACACACCTTGACACTGGAAAGTTCTTGTTAAGCTTTTTTTATAAAAAATCTGACCCATCTTTTACTGAGTTTGTGCTTCACAGATGCATTTGTGCATAACTAATGGTTGACGCCCAGCTTGACTAAATAAAGCCTTAAGTGGAAGCTGCATGACTTAGCCTGGTGAATATTTCAGTGAGTTTGAATAATGCAGATTGTCACCTCCTTCTCATCCTCCTCTTATCGCTCTCCATCTGCCTCCACTGTGTCTGAATAGCTTTTGCTTCCGATACATCTCTATTCATCCTCCTCCAACTCATCTCCACGCCACTTAAATTTCCTCTTTCTTAACACGTTTTTTCTCCTCTCGGGACCTTGACAACGTCAGAGGATTCACCATGACTGATGTTGAGGGAGTTCAACAGGTTTACCGCCGCCTCGCTTTGACCCACAGCTTAACTTGCAATTTAATTCAACATTCATAGAAAAATGATTAAATCTGCAAAACCGGGTCAAACATCTCTCTCATACATTTGTTATTTGTCATTATTGTGTGTTTCTTCAGTGCTGTGTGTGTGTGTGTGTGTGTGTGTGTGTGTGTGTGTGTGTGTGTGTGTGTGTGTGTGTGTGTGTGTGTGTGTACCTGATACATGTAGGATACGTTGGATCCAAGGTATTTGGCACCATAGAACAGCCCATCGGGCCACTTCACTTGAACAGCTTCCCCAACTTCAGGAGGGCCCAAGTTCATACAATCTCTGCTCTAAAAGATACAAGGGAATAATGGTGTTTCTGTGTAAGAGTGTGCGAGCCAAAAAGCTCTCAAAAAAGGAGAAAAGTCACTCAAATGTAATGGTTTGATGAAATAAAAAGGGCTCTTCATTGTGTTTTCAATAGTTACATGTATGGTTACACTTGATTCTGGCTTCTAACCTGAATATTGGTAAAACGAATGTATAGGCAATAGTTACAACATAATCTAAATATATAGGAAAACAATACCATGTATCACTTTTTGTTTTTTTAAAAAGGAGTGTTGTCCAGCCTCTCATACAGACTGTTTTCACACTACAACACTTACTTATCTACATGCGTGCATTTCTTTTAGATTTTCCACAAAAACAAACACATTCATCATATTGCTTTCTGGTTAAAAGATTTAACAACAACTAAAATCTTAAGTTTGAATAGTCTATGTTTCAAACAAATATTTAATTTCATTATCGTCTCCAAATACAATTTTTTTTTTACAAGAATTAAAAGGATTGTACAATTTGCTGCACATCTGAGGAAGACTTGGTCAATCAAGGCTGGGGCTCAGTATTTAATGAAATTAGGAGAACCTCACTGATACTGTAAACACACATATGTTATAGCTCACCCAGTGACACTCAATCATTATTATAATCACTTAAGCAAATCAATGAATTGCAACTCTTCAAGAACGGTCATGTCAGTGATAATTTGGTGCTACCATGACAACCTGGCAGTCCCGTTTCATTTTTAATTTGATTGGCCTTTGTCAGACGTCCATGTCGTTTCATAGCAATTGCAGAAAAGGTTCATAGTGACACACTTTACAGTAAGACATTTAAACAAGATTATATGTAATCCCTCGTGCAATTTAGAGAAGCAATAATCCTGCTTGAAAAAAAAGAAGCTCCTTTCAAATGAGGGTTTTAATATCGGATATGACCTCGTCCAACTGGGAGGCGACCTCTTGAGCGGGGCCGCTAATTAAACATATCCTCACCACTATATCCTCCGGGTACGTATCGTTGGAGAAGGAGCCGTCGTCGAACATGACCTCGTAGAACATCTGGGAGGTGATCTGCGTGACCTTTGAGCTGTAGTAGCGCAGGTTTTTATGTTTGGAGATCACCGTCTGGCCCAGAGAGATGGACGCTTGGCATGCCCGCTGCTTTTGGTACAGACAGAGAGCAATTAGAGCAATGTAGGACAACAATACAGTAGCTTTTCAAACTAAAACTCCTATAGTAGTACATCATTATATGGTGAGTGATGACTGCAGTCCATTTAACATTTCGTTTTTTTAACATTTGTTAACTACACTTTGAAAACAAACACTTTTTTCTTATATAAAATAGCATCTAGCCATGCAGATATTTCTGTTTGTTCAAGGTTTTGAGAAATCTCAGTGATTCTGCCACTCATTCTGAAAAATGACAAAATAATACGATTCTAAAATTGGAGTCTTTCCAGAAACACATTACTCTAGATCAGGGGTTTCAAACTCAATTTCATCTCGGGCCGCATTCGCATTATGGTTGCACTCAAAGGGCCAGTTGTAACTTTAAGACTATATAAAAATACATATATAAATATTTAATATATATAAAATAATGTATTATATTACATCATTGCCTCTGCATTGGATTATTATCGGATAGGGTAATAACTTCATAATTAACTACGTCTGAAAGCAGAAGTCTAGGGCAAATAATTGCAAGTCTTTTCAGTGAGAATGCCACAAAATGATTTAAAAAGAAAAGCAAAATAAAAAAAGGTGACATTTTGAAAAAAAGGCAATTCTGAGAAAAAAGGCATATTTAGAAGAAAAAAAGTCAAATCTGAGAAAAAAAGTCAAATGAGAGATGCATTGTGGGACATGTAGTTTATGGACAACGTGCTTCTGTAAATCGCCATTGTAACCGTATAATAAACATATTATATTCTTTCAGAGCTCTTGTGGGGCCACATACAATGAAGTCGTGGGCCGGATTTGGCCCCCGGGCCTTGAGTTTGACACCCCTGCTAGATAATCATAAAACTCCCGTTTCATTTTTGTGAATAATGTAATAGTTACACATTTTACACCCTCATATTTATTCTAAATAAATTCCAACATTACAGATATGTATATTTCTACAATAACACAACTTTTATTTTGAAAAATGTGAGTAGCATTCACAATCCCATCTGACAGCAGTAAAGTGTTGTTTGTAATGTTGGAATGATTTAGAAAGTATATTACACTAGAACCAATAACACCTATTTTCTTTTACAAGTTACAGTATAGTATGATCATTGTCCTAGTGCAACACACTGCCATGTCCATTCTCCCTTAGCAAGACCTGGTTCATAACACCTCTGGAAAACACCTGTCCTATTACTTACAGCTGACGAACTCCGCGACTGATGTCTATGGCAGGTGATTGACACGACATATGGCCAATCATCAGGCTCCATGATGACCCCAGCAGCATGGGCACAGGTCACATGAAAGGAGGTGGGACACCGGCCACATGAGCACTGGATGCAAGCACCTGCCTTCCTTCTCCCCACGCATCGCTTACGACAATAGATGCACTTCTGTAGACACACACCGGAGAAAACTATCAACACCAACGCCTCACTCTTAGCAGTATGTCACATTCATATTCAGAAAATAAAATGTCAGTTAAAAGTAGGGTTTTGCACCATTTGGTAATTGGTTCAAATAAATGTTCTTGTTAGATGAAAATAGCATTATTTCTTCATAGAGAAACTTCAGTTTAGTATAAATGATGAATAATACATTGTATACACTGAACCGTGTAGTATGTTAAATGCAGCACATCAAATATGCATGAATGTAGAATAAAATGAGTACAAGACCATCCAACACATCTTCCGCTTCTTTGTAATCTTTCCTGGCAAAATGACAAACACCAAGAGAAATTGTCATTGAGTGTCTTTATTACCCTGAAGGAAACCAAGTGTAGCCTTGGAAAGCAGTAAAAAGAATTGAAGCAATTTAAAATCTGAATTTCAATTTGAGAGACCTTGAATGTGCTCAAGAAAAAGTGAGTGAAAGACAAAAGGCTGCTAAGTGAACCATAGCAGGGTTGTTCCATGAAGCTCGAACATAATTTAGAAAGAGTATGTCCTCGAAAACAACTTTTTTGTAAAACTACTCTGTTATTGGATACGGCGGAGTAAACAAAACTAAGACAAGAGAATATAATGGGGCCAGTCAACATAAACATGTTATTTTCCCTCTACAACACAAGGAAACCCTCTAGTCTAAATGGTCCAATCAGATGACATCATTTGAGGTTTCCCCAACAAAACAGGTTTGTGGTGCTTTTCCCCTCCATTGTGGGTCTGTGAGCAGTACACAAGTGCACAGTGAAGGGTGAAATACACAAACATATCCTGCACCGAACACTGCCATGCCTAAATGCACAAACACACTTGCACCTACATTTTTAAGACTACCCCTCGGTTTTCAGAACCCAACAGCCCATCAAGTCCATTTCCTCTGCTGTGGCTGCCCCCTCTCCTCTGCTCCCACAAATCCTCATCTCACCCACTAAAGGGAAAGAATGACGACATCCTCCCATTATATTCCTACTCGTACCCATTCCTCTTGCATCCCATCTCACTCCATTTCCTCCACTCTCCTCCTAATAAAACATCCATCTACGCTCTCTTTTTTGCTCCGCTGCCCTGTTTTCTTCTCTCTTGTGGTGCGGCTTCACATCTCTTTGAAGGTAATTTATTTATTAATGTAATTCCTTAGGAATCCATACTGAAATATCCACACATGCTGGCAGATAATAAGCCCGTGGATAGACAAACTCCTTAGAGGATGTTCCTCAGTGGATAGTCAGTCTGAGTGGGAATTACCTGGTTTGTAAATATGAAGTAAAGCCTATAAAAAGAGTCTGATGATATACTGTCATATCAATATCTTACCATCTTCATGGAAGAACACGATGTGTCTAAACAGCATGTGTGGGAGTATGGACATGTTTCATTCTTAAATAGGAACTGATGTTTAAATTCTCTAGTGCATATCTGGGAAGTATTCATCGCCCCAGGTGAAAGAGCATAGCCTTTGTTGGATAGATAAGGAGGTAATGCTGTGCCAATGCTAAACTTTTCCTAAAAGTCTCTGTTCTTATCAGCTAAGTCTCTGAAATAAGTGCCCTTTGTTCATTCCTTTGAAAAATCAATATCTGATCTAATTAGTTGACCTATGCAGCATTAATTAAATGTAACCTCTATAGCGGAGCTGGCTTCTCCTTTACAATTATCAGCTTAGCCTACTTTAATCAGATATCACTTGAGGATCAGGGGGTATTGTGAAATGAGCGGTCATCTTCCAAACTTAAAGGCAATGGTTCATTTAAAATGGCTGGTGAAAATAAGTCATTTTATCCCCTTTTTTTATTAGTATTAATGGAGCCTCTATTGCTGCACAGTTCCTCTATTTCTGAACGAAGGGACTTTTTTCTCAGTGATTTTCTTGGTGACTAACATGGCCTACATTTCATAAACCCCTTTCCCATATCTCGTCCATTATGGACAACATTGTGGTGCTGATGAACTGGCCTGACTGTCTCGTCCACCTATCGGGGCCAGCATGACAAGATCCAGACTGGCATGCCACACAATCTGTGTTAACTGAGGGATGTATGTGTGTGTGTGTGCGTGCGTGCGTGCGTGCGTGCGTGCGTGCGTGCGAACATTTAACAACTATTTTAAATAGTGTTCTGTGTGTGTGTGTGTGTGTGTGTGTGTGTGTGTGTGTGTGTGTGTGTGTGTGTAGTGTGTGTAGTAGTAGTAGTAGTAGTAGTAGTAGTAGTAGTAGTAGTAGTATATAT